GGGGGAGTGAGGTGGGATCATGGGGATTTTTTAGTAGTTTGTTTTTTTTTAAACAGGTTGTACACTACTTCAGAACTGTGTTTGTCAATGATGTACTGCATGGTAGTCATGCTATCCTTTTTTTCATACAGAAGCTTTTTTTACTGTCCCAATTAATTGCAAAGAAAATATATAAATATCAGTTTTCCTGAAAGTAGGGAAATACAAATTTCAGGCAGATTACAAATCAGAAGCACTAAACTGTTTGCACTATGCACTTTCTTTGCTTGTATTTTGCATGCCCAGTACCTAAGTGGTTTGATTTTACATGCTTTCTTGACAAAAAACATATGCGTATATTCATACTCAAATATAAAGCTAGGAAAGCTCTTTTACTCTCCATATAGCAATGACAACCTTTCCCTGTGACCCATAAAATAAATTATGAAGGAAGACTGTCAAGTATGCCAGTGTGCCCCAATCTTTAATTTTGGGGTATCCTATGGGAGAAATGAGCAAGTATTTTCTGTGTTTTTCTGACATGAAACGCCAATGCTCACAAACCCAGAGCTTTCAATTCAGTGTGGGTGACTCAAAAATAAGCACTTTCACATTATAAGTAGTGATTATTTGTTATAGGGTTAAGTTTGAGAGATTTCCTTTGGCAAGTGTAGTAAACCCATCCTATGCCATCTTCAGTTTAGTTGTTCAAAATATTTCATGTTAAGTTTTTAAAGATTTGCATGTATCTGTTTTCAGGGGATTTTTTTAATCATACTATTCCTTGAATAGTTTTATTTAAATTAATCATTTTGCAGTTGGATAATTATAAATATTAAATATAAAGGTATAAATCTAACATATTTATTCTCCTTGTAGTCTTTAATTTCTTTTTAATTTCAAATTAGGGGATTTTTTTTTTTTCCTCATGGTGAAGCTCATAATGTTTTTAAGCATTTGAAGACAAGACAAAACTTCCTATATAATTTTTTCATTAGAAAATGTACTGGGTAATAAAGAAAATGCCTGTAATAATTTAAATATGTTTATAAATTTTTTTATATCCAAATCAATATTAATTTCTACAATATTTACACCTAATTGTGTGTCCCTTCCTGTCTGTGCTGGCATAGAAAAGATTCTGTAGTGAGAGGAATATGATCCTTGGTTACAGCTATTAAAATAGATTTTTGAGAAGTTGGTTTAAGTTTAGTACATGTCTCTATTTGAGGAAAGAGCAAACGAAGGTACAGTTGTGGTTGTGTTCTGCAGTACAAATACATTTCTTTCATAAAGGTTCATGCCAGGTTTCTGTGCTTCTAGGCATAATGTGAAGATTATGCTTAGAAGACTTGAAAATGAGTAAAGTAGAGAAAATGCTAATATTTATCATATATTTTGTTGGATGCTAGACTTCATAAGTACTAAATATTGCAAAATGCATTGAAACATGTTTGATTTCCATATAGTTCCTGATGATGTATTTGCCCAAAATTATATATGGAAAGGATCTTACAATTACAAAAGCAAGAAACAGCCCATGACTTTGACAGTCACCAGTTTCAATGCAACTTCAGGAAGAGTAAATGCAACACTTATAAACAGTAATATGGAATTGCTGCTATCAGGTATGGGATAAGAAAAAACTAATTTCCAATTAATTTTTCTGCCTTATATACATTGGTTCCCTGTAACTTTATGCTTAACTCTTAAACTTTCAACATCTTTTGGAAACTCTTAGCTCATCATAGAAATTTTCATTCTAGAGCTGTTTCTTTTAAAGGTAAGGATTTTCCCACCTTTTACTTCTCTTCCCTTTAATTTCCTAGTTTATTATATTTGGCGTTAATAGTCAATGAGGAGTGAAGGAATCATCCTATTTCTCATGTGTCTTCCCTAAATATTATAAATTAAATCATTGTTCCTGAGATTTTCTTAATTCTCAATTGTACAATTTTCCTACAATAGCCCATTAATGAAGAATAAGCAAAATGGTGAGATTGATAGATGTTGACCTACCAAAGCAGAGTTATTTAATGAACATGGAGAGCAAGGAGAGATGACACTTGTTAGAATAGCTGATACAGTTGAAAAAAGTAGCTACCCTTCATGCTGTGGTTTCAGAAGCCCTAGATTGCATTCTTGGTTTATGGTACTCCACAGTCCCTGCCACATGGAGCACTACCATGGTTATGTTGGTACTTTATGCACAGCTCTCAATGCTGTGAAGCATCGGAAGAAACTTCAGATACGGCTTGACAAGCAGGCAAACAAAAATACTGTAAAAAATAAGGATTAAGGGAAGAGAAAGGTACAGCTTTTAACTGTTTGTTTGCCTCAGATTAAACACTCTTGTACACTGAAAAACCAGCTGCCAGCTCTGAAGGAGTACATCGGCCTTTCATCAAGTAACGCTTATGAATCCACCACTGTAACTTAGCAGAGAACAGTGGTACCTTTGACTGTGGGATAATTTCTCTCTATGTCCTTGTTTGAGTGTACATTCACAGTGTTCATGCCTATGTATTAAAAAAATAAAAAAGTTAATATACAAGTCTTGTCATTGTCTAGAAGAAGCTGTGTCAGAATATTGACTGATGAAGAACAATTCAATTTTCTGAGATATTTGCAAATTTAGAAATTTTCAAATTCTCATCAGCTTTTGGAAAAGAATTTAGATGTGCATGTTCCTATTATCACCTTTACCTGATGACTAGATTGCAAATATTGGAAGTGGGGAATGTGAGGTTCAAATACACAGTCTCTCTGATTTAGAACAGTATTTTCCATCTCAAATCAGATTACTGTCAATGTTTGTTCTGTCTAAGGCTTCTTACCATAATTGTCAAGTAACAGCTGTGTTAAGGGTTTCCCTTCTGTACTCTCTACAGATCAAGCAAAAAAACCAATTTAGATTGAAATCCTATGATAATTGAAATAATTTCACAAAAGAAATCATCTTTCTCAATTAAAATGTTGACAACAATGCTAGCTATTCTTCCTGCTTTCCCTTTTTAAGGCAAGAGATTAAATGTTCATCTTTAAAAATTAAATTATTTCTTTACTCAATACCAACATAAGTTTTTAAAACTTTTACAGGAGTGTATAAAAGCCAGGAGGCTCGACTAATGCTACACATATATCTCATTAAAACACCCTCCCATACATCTGTGAGCAAGTTGAAAGAAGAAAAATGGGCTATGGATGGTTTTGTGAGTATATTTCTGCTACAAAACAGAGAGAAAGATTTTTGTTTGTTTGTTTGAAATCATGCTGGTGTTCTACACCCAAAAGATCCTGAGACACATCAAATGGAATCTTGTTAGCAATGCTAATTCATTAAATGAAATGAAAATTTAATTATAAGTTATGGGAGACCAGTCTGAGGTAAAATATGGGAATAGTCATACTATCTAAGCACCCTTATAATGCATGTTAATTCTGAGAAAAAGGCTGCTGATCCGATTGATTTTTATTCCAATATATTAAGAAATTTTATCATCATAATAACATAATATAAACTTAAAATAATATTAGAATATAGAATATTCATATAAAACCAAATTTTATCATTAGGCCAGAACTCACATTTTACTTTTTGTTGATATTTTTAGAAATAACATTAAATAGCTGAACTGTTAAATGTATGGAAGAAACAAAATAGATTGCTCTAGTTAAGCATTAAGTCTCTTGGAGTTTTTGAGGCTGAACTTATTCTTTAAAAGGGAGGAGAAAAGAGCACATAACTGAGAGGAGGAGAGGTGAAGGCAAGGACTAAAAAGAAGAAACAACATCCCAAGTGGCTGGGATGTATTTAAACCATTAAAAGAAAATCCCTTCAGCGAACAGACAGGAAAAAAAAATCCATCACCCAAGATAATTTTAAGGCTGGAAGAAGCTGAGTGTGTTGGGGACCTGAGAAACTTTATTTGCCGGAGGGGAAAGTAGATTTTTCAAGAAAGAAAGTGCCTGAAATAATTTGGATTATGATGAGCATTCATACATCCCTATTACACTATTTTTCAATGAATCTGTTTTCTTATGTTTCACCTACTGGTAAAGCATTACAGGGACACCGGTATGTATGCACATGCCAAAAGGAGATAAGATGCATACACTTCACATACATTGAAGTGTATGCATAAACGTGTATTTGTATAACTTGTTTCAATAATAATTTTTGAAAAGGTGCAAAACGAAAAGCAGAACAGAAAACTATAAACCACTTAAGTATACTGGTAAAAGGGCGTTACTCCCTTTGTTTGTACAAAATGCAGGCTTCATGAATGCATTCCTGATATGGAAAAAAGAAATGGTCAAAGCAAGAAATTTACTTTCAGAATTCTAAATGTACAAAAGTACACAGTACATTCCCCATTTTCTATATGTTATTTACATATTGTTCTTATTTGATCATGTGGGGTTTATTTTAATCTTGGAATAGCTCAAACAGACTGCTTTTCCCCAAAGTACAAAATTCACCTGAGAAATACACACTATCTTCAGTGAAAACACAGTTTCAGATTATCCCTTAAGGGAAAATCCTCAAGGAATATGCCTTGGGACCACTGAGTTTAAACGTAGTAACTATTCTGGGAAGCAAGTACCTGTAAATTTGAATACAAAGTATTAGTTTAGAATATGCATACACTAATAAGGGAGATATTCATAGGATCATAACCCTCAAGTATTTTAGTTTATACTAACATATACTTAGCTAGCATATATTTAGTCTGTACTCAAGTATTTTAGTTTCTACTAGCATATATTGCTCTTGTACCAAAGCCTCATTCAATATTCTTCTGGTCTACAGCTGTATAATTCAGTAATTATTGAGATAAGCACTGAGAAAGAACAAAGGAACTGTCAATTGAAAGTGAGGTTGTTGTGGTTTAGGCCCAGCTGTGAATAAAAACCCATGAGGACACTCTCTCACTCCTCCCCCGGTGGGATGTGAAGGAGAAAAATTTAAGGAAAGGTTCATGGACTGGGGCAAGGATAGGAAGGGATCACTCACCTGTTATGGCCATGGGCAACACAAACTTGACTTGGGAAAGAAAAATCCATTAAACTAGTTACCAATCAAAATCAGAGTAAAATGATGAGAAACAAAGCAAAACAATACTAAAAAAAACCTTCTGCCCACTCCTCCCTTCTTCCTGAGCTACCTCCTCCCTTGCCAGCAGCACCCTGGGGGCAAAGGATGGGTGTTTCTGTCAGTTCACCACACATTGTCTCTGCTGCTGCTTCTTCCTCAGGGGGGAGAAGACCCCTCACACCCTTCCCCTGCTGCAGCATGGGGTCCCTCCCACAGGAGACAGTCCTGCATGAACCTCCCTTCCCACAGGCTGCAGCTTTCTCCTCTAAGTGCTCCAGCATTAGTCCTTTCCATGGGCATGCAATCCTTCAGGAGCTACCTGCTCCAATGTGGGGTCCTCCCCAGGGTGCAAGGCAGGGGGGTGGTCTCTGCCCCCTCCTGACCCCCTAGAGGCACAGCCTGCCCTCTCACCACAGGCTGTAGGAGAAGCTCTGCTCTAGCCCACCTCCATCCCCACCTCTCAGTGTCTGCCCTGTTCTCTCTTTCATGTTTCACTCCTCCCACCACACCAATTCTCCCCTAACCTGCTTCCACTGCTACTTCTTTTTGTGCATTCCCCTGTTAATTTGCAGAGGCGCTTGATTGGCTCTGCCACTGCCAGAGAAGGATTCAAGTTGGAGCCAGGGGAGCTTCTCTAGAAGCTTCTCACAAGATCTGGCCCTTTGGCCCTTCCCTCACTACCAAAACCCACCACCACCAAAACCCAACATAGAGGTCTTTTTATTTAGTTTTAAAATAATTATTAAAGCTTCAGTACTTGCATTGTTAGGTTTATCTACATTATAACCTTTGGCATCTACTTCCTAAACATATCCAATAATTATGTAATAATTACTATGTAATTATTATAATAAGTATGAAATACTGATATCTTGAATTTCCAGACACTTTTTTGTTTAGTTTTGTTGGCTTTAAGAAATAATACAGTTAAAAGTACTGTAAAGCAGTATATATGACCATAATCTGCCTTCTCTGAGATGTGCCTTTAACAGTTTTGTCTCTTTTTTTGAGCTTTATAGATTTCCTAAGAAAAAAAAAGAATGTTTTTAGTGGAGAATAACAGCTACCAGTCAAACATATTAGTGTATCTCTCTTCTAAATAAATACTTGTAACTTCTAAATAAACTTGTAACAAAATTTTCCCGTTTAATTCAGAGTGGTTTTTGTTTACAGGTTTTTTTTTTTGGAGCAACATATGTTTTTCAAGGATTCATCCAGGGAAAAGATTATGGACAATTTGGGCTTCAGAGATTAGGTATTCAGCAAATTCTAAGTTTTTTGACACTTCATTGTTCCATATTCTGTTTTATGTCTAGTAGTATAAGGGTATCTGCAGGATGTTATCAGTATTACCATTTTATAGAATACAGAGATATTCATATCTTTAAATCTCATGTAAATAGTACTTACAGAGTGTTTTGTCATTTGTAAGGAGTTATAGATGCCTTGCAATGTACTGCTCAGTAGACCTCTACATTCATAATGGTTTTCTATGAGTATATGTAAAATGCATTTAGTTTCATATCTTAACTATTCAGAAAACCCATTTTTTAGAATGCTCTGCTAAACTGATCTCTTGCTCTTGGTGCTGAAAGTTTTCATCTAAACATCTGCTAGAACAGTGAAACTGCTAAATATTTGCAAGTAAATTGTTATGTTACTCTTACGAAAAACAAAATCTTACTTAACTGATAAGCATTTATTTCCTAAAGATTGACTTCTTGGTTTTATACGTTCTGTTCTACACCAATCTAATAGTCTTTATTATCCTTTTTTGGAGAAGGCAGCTCTGGTAACAACGTTCTGTTGTGCTTTTTAAGAAAAATAATTTAATTTACTTATATGATACTGTCTTTAGAACTGTGATATTTCTCCATCTGCAAGAAATTGAATTTAGTTAATACTGAATTCTTGAATGACAAAATCCTATTGCGAAGGAAGAGGTATTACTTCTCAGAAATGTAATGTCTCCTTAGATAGAATGCTTACCTTCAGATAAAATCCCTATATGTGGATGTAAAAGTAGGTTCTTTCAGCACCAAAGTATTGTCCATTCACTTTTTTCCCAGTAAAGGCAGGTAATTGCTTAATTCTTCAATGTGCTGGAAGGATTTATTAATGAATGTATGAGGTAAAGGTAAATTTTTCTTTTTTACATAGTTCTATGTTACAGTAAAATTCACTGGTTTGGATCTTGCTTTTCATTGTATTTGTATATTCAAATTATTTAAAAAGAATTTTCAGAATTCAGAAATATCTTTGTCAATAAGTATTTCCATTAAATAAATATAAAAAGTTATTTCCCTTTTTTAACTCCTTCAAAATAGATGTAAGTCACCTAACAAAAATTAAAATGCAAAAATTCCTTAACAAAGTGTTTTGATAGATGCTTCTTATGAAAATTGTATTTCTTCGTTTGATTTTCAGAAGGATTTTTTTCTTTTTTAATAATTGTGTGATTCTTTTCTGTAATATATTGAAGTTACTTTATATTGGTTTATATCTTTAGGAACAGAATGGTTCACTCAGGTTTAAATTCTATAAAAGAATGAATTGTAGTTAAAATAGTCAATAATACATTTACAGAGAGATTTACAATCATTGAATAGACTTTGTTTAGCATGTTTAGCACTTCATTATTTCGTACACACAAACACAAAGAACAGTTTCTCTGAAACAAAATATTTTCATTGCTGTTCCCATACAATTTTTCTCTAAATATTTTTTCTCAATATATAATTTATTTTTCTGTATTTTATTATATTGACTATTTATTTGTTTCTTTTTGTTAGGTTTGTTGTTGGGGGTTTTTTTGTTGATTTTGGTTTTTTGGGGTTTTCTGTGTACTGCATTGGATGTTTAAGAAAGTCAGAAAATATTGTGACTCATGCAATTCTTTAAAGGTGCAGTTCAAAGCTTAAAGATTAACTTTGAAGACAAACACATTGGTATTCCTTTCCTCACATATCTTGTCTGCGTAGATAACCTAGATAAAGTGTTCTTCAACCATGTAGGAAATCATATTCTTATTTGGTTACCAATATCTGGCTTTAGCTATTCACAATTGTTCCTACCTCTTTCACTATATCAGTAGCAGCATCTAATGAAATTAACATGACAAACCTTCAGTTTGCCTCTTCAGGTGATTCATCCTTTCCTTGAAATCATGTTTGCGTTTTATATATGCAGTATTTATTAATTTCTGAAATACACATATATAATCAGTAATATAAGCAAACATACACATTATTATGAATTTGACTTTTTGTAACACAGTCCATTGTTTATTAATAACATCCAACACTTGAATCCCATACAGAATTATGCAGTAAGGTATTTACTATACTAGAATATATGTATTGTTCTCCCAGTATTTTGCATCCACTTATTAATCGCAATATGGTACACCACATGACAGTTACTTTCCAGGTGTTCTCAGCATATAGCTGAATGTATACAGCTGAACATAATATGCTGGAACAATAACACAAGGTGTTATTGAATTCTGAAGTTATGGAGTATCATCTAGTGGGGGTAACTGACACACATATTACATGTTTTTTTTAATTCTTCCTTTCAGGTCTTAACATGTCTGAGGGTTCAAATTCTTCTAATCAACCACATGGTACAAATAGTAGTTCAGTGGCCATTGCTATCCTTGTGCCTTTTTTTGCCCTTATATTTGCTGGTTTTGGCTTTTATCTTTATAAACAAAGGTAAGTACAAATTATGTATGTAAAATTCATGTATTGCTTGGTGGTTTTACTGCCTTCAATCTTTGTTAGTAAATAAAGTTTTCTGTAAAACCACAGATTTATTGCAAAATATGCATGCAGATAGGTCTTTGTGCCTCCATGAAGGTCTGGAATAATGACTGAGAGATCAGTTTATGGTACTGCACAATACCTTCACTCCTGTGTATTTTACAAAGTCCTCTCTTTATGAAAACAAAATGGTTGCTATAAATCATTGTCATATGGGGAATAATACAATGAATAGATTTGTGTGTACATGAAGTTCATTACCTGTATTATTTTTTACATAGAACTGAGAGTCATATCTGGAGTAATTTATTTTAATGCCTCCTCTGTTTATTGCCTTGCAATTATATGCAAATATTATGCCACTGACACATTTGATTATGGAACTGTTTCTGGATCTGAAATTATTAGCTCATATGCAATTATGTTACATAGCCAGCAGTTGTCTCAATTTCATTAGTCTAAGTTCAACAGTTTTGTTCATGTTATTGACACCAGTATTAGTTCTTTGGATTTAGTGTCAAGTAATCTTTTCCTATAGCTTTAAAGCATTAGATGACTGAAGAAAATTTAATCACTTTAATAACAAGACGTTTAATTGCCTGCTAACTATTAAAATGGTGATTTACGCCTCGTAGCCATACAATAAAAATTGTAATATACTCTGCAGGATAACATTAGTTTAAAACACATACCACCATTTTAAAATGGTACCATTTATTTTTAAACTGTTTCAGAATATGAAAAAATGCTTATATATTTTTTTTTTTACATTTACCATTAACTGCATGCTGTAAGCACATTTTTTTTATATTTTATATTGATTTAGAGTACAGTATGCATAAATGTTTTCAACTGATTAAACACTGACAATTTGAATTGTGAAAATGCAAATGTTTCATCTATGAAATCATTCTTGATAAACTTGTTGAATCTCCAATAAAAAGAAAATCTAACTGGGGAGTTATGGCATCTTAACAAGATTTTGTTGTACTCTATGTATCATGTGATCATCCAAGTGAAAATATCTACCCCTTCTCAGGTTGTTAAGAGATTTTTTAAGTGAACAACATTTTAAATTAATCATTAATCCCTTAAACTTTGATTAAGAGAGTATGAATTCTTAGCACAGATGCTGTAAAAAAAAAAAAAAAAGGAAAAAATCTATTTAGCTCCCATAATTGGAACTGAAAGCTAAATTCTGTTCAGATTGTTAAACTACCTCAACCCAGTGAAAAAAAACTACAGTTACAAATCCTCTGTCTTTTTTCTACAGGACTGCACCTAAAACACAGTATGCGGGATGCTCTGTACATGAAAATAATAATGGACAAGCTGCTTTTGAAAACCCTATGTACGACACAAGTGCAAAGTCTGTGGAAGGGAAAGCAGTACGATTTGACCCCAACTTGAACACCGTTTGCACAATGGTATAAGGTGGTAATGATGTCTTCAAAGTCTGGAAATTGACACACAACAAAGTGCACACAGTTCACTGATTAAAAAATGGAAATAATTAAAAAAAAAATTAAAGCACACTTTTCAGGATATACTGCATCACCTTTTCCTGAGGATGATAGACAAGAATGGGTTGTGGTTACTTTGGTTTTATTTTGTTTTTCATAAACTGGATCAAAATTCTTCTTCGTGTATACCACGGAGAATTTTAAAAACATTTGCTGCACTCCATGAGTGCTACTCACAGTTTATTTGCTTTTTTAAAAAAGGAGGTTATTCTAAAACATAAAACATATTTGCATATATTGGAGGAGCATCCACTATCAGTATTTCTGTGCTTTATGAAAACTATAATAGAGGGACTGGGTTAAAAAAAGATATAGGTAGAAAATAAGAGCTATACTTACAGGAGACAATAGGTCACTGACTTCTCTTTAACAGTCATATGCTACATATTTCTCATGATTTTCTACCTTTTTTTTCATTCATACAGCCGGTTTAGTATTTTACTTCTCTCAGAACAGTTAACTTCTTATGTCCAGGGTGTAGTATTTAGAAATCAGCAAGTACAACTTAATCTTTTCACATCACAGAAGAAGAAAAAAAAAGGTCAAGTTCTTATTTAATGAATTTCCTTTCATGTTTCACATCTTGATTCCTTTTCATGTTCCAAGTCAAGCTTCTTTTTTGTTTCCATTAACAATCACCACAAATGGTAATGTTTCTACATTTCTTTTGTCAATCATACAGCTAGACAAATTGAATGAATTGAGCTTTGTCATGTGGCTATGTCCCTCTGTTGAAGATAATTCAAAAGAGTGACCATCTTAACTTTTTGAAATGTGAAAACATAATGTAATTATATTTCCAATTAAAAAAAGCAGGTTACACTACCATTAGTAATCAAATCCATATATTGAAGATTTAAGAGTATTTTTCAATCCATGCTAGTTAAATCTAGATTATATCACATCAGTTTATTCCTTCAGCATTTTGTCAAAATGCATGCAGAAAGCATGGCGAAATCCTTTAGAACTTGATGGATTCTAACAAACTTCAATGAACTTTGGATCTGACCTATACAGCAAGAGGAAGTTAAAATTTGGAAATAATGTGTTTTCACATATATTTTTTCTATATATTCCATACTTTACGGAAACAAATCCTTACAGCTAATGATTAAAAATTGAATATATTACCATAGTGCAATGAAAACAAAAATATTAAAAAAAAATATATAAAGCCATGATTTTATTAGGGACAATCCATTCATTTTAGGGACAATTCAGATTCCACAGGCCTCAGATACAAGTTTTACACATTCCAGAATCACTTCTAAGGAAAAGTAATTTTTATTTCACAGTTATTTCATATCAGGATTATTAAGTGGCAAGTCAGTAATTTATGTTATGTAGGTCATTGTCTTCCATTCATAGCATGACTCACAAATGCTGTGTGTTAGCCAGTGTGAATTATCTGTTATTGTCCCTTTCAGACATTAATAATTCTGTGAAAATCTAAACTTTTTATTACCGTAATAGAGAGTGCCTACCAAAAATCATTGTACCCAGGATTGCTGCTTGGATTTCTATAATGTTTGATGAATTTCTTATAAACCATTTTACAACACTTTGTTTTGAATATTCATACAACTCTGTCAAACTGTATTCTACTAAAAGGATGCTGGTTTATATTTTATACCATTGGTTGTTATTTATTCTTGTTTATTCAAATGACTGCAATAACTATGATTCATTCATTACTGTTAAGGTTAATACATTTGAGATCGTTTAAAATGTTTCTTCTGCAACTGGCTACTCCTCTTATATTAATGCATACACTTTTGTAAAGAAGTATATTTTTATGACAAAGGATTTGTAAAAGTATGATGTAAATTTTCAGTGCAATGTAAACAAAATAAAAATGGACAATTGCTTTTTTTAACCGTGTTACTTCTTTGGAAGATGAGCTTTAAAATCACTTCTGTTGTGAAAACAAGAAAATAGCCAAATTAATAATTCAAATTTGGTATTTTTGTGGGTCTCAAAATCACGTTAATTTTTCTGAATCTTCCTGTGAATTTTAGGTGAAGTGGCAAGATGTAGAGTACTTTCACAAATAACTAATGAGCACAATCTGTAATATTATCTATTTAGTAAATTAAATATTTTGTTGACTTGGAGAAACAGATTTTTATATGTATAAGGTATATACTTGTCTACCCAGTGAAAATCACAGAAAAACATCTTTTTCTACTTAAAACAATATTAAGAAAACCATAGTTTTCCTCAGGGTTGTAGACAGCCTACTTTGCACATTAATTTTGCTACCTTTCTGCATAAATTTACAGGACATATGTATTAACAGGTATTACCAGTTCATACAGTATTTTCTAGCATAAAAAACCCTGATGTTTTCTTTTAATGACATTGAACTAGAATGGGAGAATATTATTTACTTTGCTATAATATTAAAACCGCGTTTTAACTATTCCTTTTTCTTCCAAACATGGAAAGTGGATGACAAATCCTGATCTGAAATGCTATTCATAGGACAAGTGGGGAAAAAAAGTCTAATATTCTTTTCTGAGTTTGGTGCTTTATATATACTGAAAAGACTCATTCAAGCCGACGTTGAAATCACTAAGACTGTTGTTGAACAAAATGGAAAGAGAAGCAAGGAGTCACTTCAAAAATGATGTGAGGATCATGCACTAATGTTTTTCGGGGGGTGCAGGGGTGTGTTGAGGGTAGGTTAGATCAAACTGATTTAAGTCTGAAAAGAAAAAAAAAAATCCTGTTTCACAGTGGCCAAACTTTCATATGCAACCTAGAATCTGAAGTTAAGCTCTTCTTTTTTTTGATTTATGAATAATATGTTTTAACATATAAAAGTCAACAAAACATGCATTGAACTTGTTCAACAATTCTTTTAATGCTAAAGCTAGTATCAAGCTTGTGCTTTTCAAGAATTATACAGACTTCATAGTAATAAAGAATGAACTATTCATAATAGATTTTTTTTCGTTGTTGGGTTTGAGGTTTTTAACATTTTGGGAGGGGAGGGGTGGGGTAGTTTGCTTATTTGCTTATTTTTTACTCTAGTTTCTAATTGTTTGACTCACAAATTATTTGAGTGTGAACTGTTACATTTTCTAGTAGCAGAGTGGTTAATTTTCGCCGTGTCATATGGAATTTTAAGTTTTGGTTGCTTGACTGGAGTTGGTTAGCAGAGTCTACTCACTGTTTCTTGTGTCTCTCAGGAAGATAGGTGAAATTATTAGACTTTTTTCTCCAAGCATTTTGTCTACATTATTCAAGAAAACACAACAGACACAGAAAATATGCAGGAATACAGATATTGTTAAGCAACTCTGTGAGAGCTTTCAAGATTAAGGCAGCTTTTGCAATATTACACACTGAGATTTGAAACTTCATTTAAATTTCTGTAACCAATAGCCACTAAACTGGGTAACTCTGGAGGAACTGAGGCTAGCTGTCCTCAGATGCATTGATCTCTTTTAACTGCATGAACCAGCTGGTCCGCTATGTCTCATTAACGTCATACCACAATCTGGTTCATTACTGGAATCCAGAAACCACATGGTATAACCTAAACACACCAAAGCAGCAGTTCTAGTAGAACTACTCAGAACAACTAGACCATCATAAACTGGAGCTTTTACTTTTGTTTGTGAAACAGCTGACATTAAGATGTAGATATTTGTCCTGGAGAAATTCTTTGACAAAAATACAAGAAGCTGTTCTTGTCAAGGAAATTATTTAATAGCTACCAATTTTATAGCTTCTTATAGAGAGGTAATGGGAAGTAAAGTAAGTCTATAGTCAAGACATTAAACCACAACAGCTATTAATCTAGGTAAAAGACAGCTTTTTCTAGGCCTTAAAGGTGATGTTATATCTCAATCTACTAGTGCAATTGCCTGAAGTCTTATGAAGTATTCGCCATTTTTTCCAACATTAGTGAAATGTGGGAAATTTAAAATCTTGTTTATCAATGCACAAATAGGTCAGCATATCCCAGTGTGTAGATTCAGTTGTAAGTCCCTAGCTACTTTGCTACAACATCTAAGCAAAACCTAGATCTCTTGTGCAGGAATATACCATATATTTAACCTGTATGCTTATGTCCATGCTCGCTCTATGAAAGATGAGCTGTTCCACGGTAAGAAAGTCATTATATGCTGCTTCTTCATAGAATGATCAGTTGGAGAAAAATATGGCTTTTATCTTTGTTAGATTAATTTTTGAAAATATTTTCCAGTTTCAGGTTGTTGGTAGGGATTGATATAGATACAGGAAGTTTCTGCAACTTCAGGAGGACCACTCAAGCAATGGTAAACTCAGTAACCCAGTTCCAGAACTCCTCTCAATCATTTCGTTAGTAGTCTTACTAGCCTTACATGGTACTACAGAAAATCTACTTGGTATTGCTCAAAACCCACTTTTTTTTTTTTCTTTTTTGAGTCTGTGATTTAACTTTTATTTAATTGACAGAAGTTCAGTCAAACATGATGGAGAAAGATGCAGTGGGTTGGTTTTCCGGTAAAGCTGGCAGTCAGTAAAATCTGTTACTGGTTAGTAATTAAACATGGTATTCTTTACCTCCTTTTATATCTTTCTCTAGGAAATAATTCTTACAGAACAGAGTATTCATGTGAGGGGAGCATGATGCAACATTTAGGAATGCATTTGGGTTTAAGATTTCTGCACTTGTATATTTATTTAATTTCCAAGATCTTTGTGTGATCCCTGCTGGCATTTTTTACACAAATTTTTGCACTAGGTTGGTTTTATCTTTAGTTCCAGACTAAGACTCCCACTGTTTGACCATTTTGTTCATCATCTACTTTGTACTGCTATCCTAAATGACAGCTAGGTCAATGGGAAAATGATTCATAATTTGATTTCCTTATGCAGTAAAATAAATACAGTGAGTAATAGCTCAGTCAAAAACACCCAAACAAAACTGGTTATGACTTTTTAGTGTCAGAGTTTAAGCAGGACCATTAATAAATGAAAATCGGATTACATAAAAAATACTCAAGGAACAGTGTTCCCCATTTATTATCTTCTTGATGCTGAAACTATGGCAACATAATATCCTGGCTAGCTCAACCAGGAGTCAGTGTAGCAGTAGTTCTGAGAAAGAGGTCCCATTTTCCGTGAAAAATTATGAATTCTGATTACATGAATTCTGTGCCCCCGTGGCAGGGGGGTTGGAACTAGATGATCTTTAAGGTCCCTTCCAACCCTAACCATTCTATG